TCGTGGCTCGCACCAACCTCGGTGGGAAGGCCGCGCGCTATGCTGAACGTCGTGAGTGTTGTGACTGCGAGTGGTAAACGCACCCACGATTCATGTTACAGCTTCTCGAACGATTTTTGCTAGGTGCGTGGGGTGCGCGGGGGCCCGTCTTGACTTTATGCACTGCATTCATCAAGGAGCTCTTAGGAGAAGATGACTGCTACGTCGGAGATCCATGCTGCTGCATTTATGATGGGGGGCATTGCATCCGCAAGTACCTTCTTGACGCTCATCGTTTGCTCTTACAGCTCGAGGCAAGTGTAGCAAGGCGTGGACGCAGGGAGCATTGCTGCATTGCTGCATATGCATGGCGTTGCTTCCGCGCAATCAACTTTGGCAAGTGCAGCTCGTCTGCTGCAGCGCTAGCCTGCTTCTCCTTCTTTCTGTGATGCGATGGCCCAAGGGTGCACGAACATGCATGCGCATGGTGGCACATCCTGCATCTCTGCATAAGCTCAATCGTGAATGCTTTGGAGGCGTGCTGAAGTGCTTCTTTGGATCGAGAAGGAACTCATGCTGCTCGTGTGCAAACGCAGAGAGAGGCGCAGGAACATGTATAGCATCGTCCAGCAACTCATCAGTCACCCGCTGCCCCGTTGGCCCTCCTGCACACCGACTCCCGTATGACTGGGGTGTTGCTCGCCGCTGAGCCGCTGTGAGGTCTTGTCAATCACGAACACAAAGTTCTTAGTGGGCGACACGCCTCGGCGCAAAGCATTCAATCGGTCTGTCACGCAGCGTGAAGGAGTGCGGACCCTCTGCCATCGTGTTGCGGATCAACTGCTACACCTCAACACAAGCGTCTTGCGTACTGTAGGCTCTGCGCCCCGATCGCGCTGTGCACCTCGCCTTTCTTAGCGCCTCTATACTCACGACTACTACTACTACTACTACTACTACTACTACTGTAGCATCGGTCGTGGGTGTGTGCACAAACTCCTCATTCATGCCTAGACCGCGCTCGATCCCTTCATTCCCGCCATCTTCATCCCCTCATTGACGCTCCTCTCCACGATTTGTCCACACAAACTTGCACTTGTCGGTCGAATACAGGCAGCGCAGCTTTCGCTGGGCCAGACATACCTGCAGTCGCCTGACTCTGCGTTCCTGTTCATCCCACACGCTCTTTACTTTTACTTTCTTTCATCGAGCCACATTCTTTTGCTTGCGGGCCACGCTGATCTCAGCAACAACGACTACAGAGTAGACTTTCATCCTCAGCACTCTTTGCATCCTCGCCCCCTCTTTCCAAGATAGTCAGGATGGACACCACGACTGCCTCGGCCGGCATGATGCGTCGCCGACACAAGCGCACTCTGGAAGCTGTCGGATCTCTCGAACGTGATGTTGTAGGCGACGCGCTCAATGGAGTGGTCGACGTAGTCAATGGTGTCGCGCACGTTGGTGGCGACGTTCTGCTGAAGACGACACCCGCACTCGGTCAACTGGGCATCAAGAGAGACGCTGGAAAGGTCGTCGAAGCCGTTATCAATCTTCCCCCAGCGATCGTGTACGACGTGGTACATGTCGCGGGCGACGCTGCTGAGATTGCAGCAAGTGACGCTGCTGGCCTCGGGCTCAAGAGGGACGTCGGCGCTGCAGTTGGGGATGCTGTCAATCTTCCCGTGGCCGCGGTGAACAATGTGGGTCACGTAGCGGGCGACGCCGTCAGAATTGTAGCCAGCGTCGTTGGTGGACTCGGGCTGCGCGACGATGACGTGCAAGCTTCTGAGTTGGCCGAGCGAGGGCTCATCTCCGGCGTTTTGAACGGTGTTGGAGACCTCGTCGGTGGCTTGCTTGGAGGTCATAAGCAGCAGCCGCAACCTCAGCCTCAACCTTCCCCGCATCCAGCACCGCAACCTTCCCCACAGCCAGCTCCGCCTTCCAACAATGGAGGAAACAACAACGGTGGAGGTGGTGGCGGCGGCGGTGGTGGAGGAGCC